TTGATGAATCTTCAGAATTCACAGCCACCTTTCAATCAACTGATTCCACTGAGTTCAAAGCTCACACTATACATTTTATTATTTCTTTTCTTGAGGGTGGAAGTACACTTTTTGAGAAGCCATTTATTGTATCAAAACTAAGGAAAGACATACAATGGTGCTTTATTCCTAAATTAGAAGTCCCAAACTAATCTAAATAATAAGAGCATAAGTATTAAGACTAATTAGAAATCATTAACATTTTAGTTTACTAAAAGGGGAAGTACAAGGGATTACTTGTCTAGCTCTAGAAGAGTAAAATAATATTGTAAATATCCAATATTCCTGATGAAGTATGAAGTACAGATGGTCCCAACTGTCACATTCCAATAACCACAATGTAAGCTGAAAAATCTACATGTACAACATGCACCTAACTGAGCAAGCACCATAGCCTAGCTTACCTTAGATGTGTCTACACTCACATTACCATACAGTTGGGCAAAATCAACAAGCACCATGTCTGTTAAATATGATTAACATGATTGTATGGTAAGCTCTTGTATCATAACGCAAGATCCAGAACTAATCCTCAACTAAAATGGTCATTTCCACAAGGGTGTGATTAAATAATTGTAGGTAACACAACTGGTCTCTCCTTAATATAACATCAGGAAAAAGGGGGGGTGGGGGGGAGAACACACCAAAAAAATCTCGCTTACTATTCAGTGCTTACCCTGAAGCAGAAGTTTAAATAAACTTCAACAGGTATGTGATTGATACCTGTAATTCTAGTACTTTCAACAAATTCAAGTCTAGGCTTGTATAGTGAGCTGGAGGTTAACCTGGGCTAAATAACAAGATTCCCTTTTCCTCCCCACAGAATTGATCTGAGGGAGCCAAACATAATATAACTTTTGGTGGAAAACTAGACATCAGCTAATTATTCTGAGAGTTAGAAACTAACAAAAGAATGAAGCATTATCCTAACTGCTATAGAGATAGCCTTTTAGGGTAACTCCAGAAGTTATAAAGGAAAATTCATCATAGTGAAATTTATAGTTACACCATGTTTTAGCTGCATACATACNNNGTTTTGAAAAGACAGTTTCTCTGTATTACAAGTCTGGCTGTCCTGGAACTCTGGCTTCAAACTCACTGAAATTTGCCGGCCTCTGCCTCCCAAATGCTTTGATTAAAGGCCAGCAATTTTTTTTTCTGTCTGAAGAAATGTTTTAGGCGATGAACATATGGTTGCTAAAAACATTTACGTCAATAGTTTAGCAATCTCACAAAAGAGACAACAAAATGTATCTTGATATAATGCAACAGGACAAAAAGTACCCAGAGTTGCATCTTGCCAAACAATCCCATCAACCCACCTAGATAGAACTTTTACAGGAAACGTCAAAAAGAAGACCCATGCTTACCACCACCATAGGGAAGCAATCAGCAAACTCAAGAATGTGAGAAATTTAACAGGACAATTTCTCCAACAAATGAATGGAAATAAGGAAAAAGTGGGGAAAACAACTATAAATGAAAAGACAAACCAAACAAAGGCACTGTATTTGGACCATGACTCAAATGAAATTAACTACAGAGATATTTAAGTCAACCAAGAAAATCAGTCAATAAGAAATCAAGTTATGATAACAATGTTGTGGTTATAGTAGTTTAGAAAAATTAACTTGATTTTATATTATATATTAGAAGGCTAAGGCTATTTTTCAATCTTCTAAGTTCAACATATTAAGAAAATACAGGTTCTAAGTTTAAGATTTTTATTTTAAAAATACTCAAAACTTATTAAATAAAATAGGTCTCCAATAAAAGTGACTCCATCCAGTCAGTGGTGATGCATGCCTTTAATCCCAGACTTGGGAGGCAGAGGCAGAGGCAGTTGGAACTCTGTGAGTTCGAGGCCAGCCTGGTTTACAAGAGCTAGTTCCAAAATAGGTTCCAAAGCTACAGAGAAACTCGAAAAACCAAAATAAATAACTCTAGCAATTCTCATGATATGATTATATATTTACTCTTTGGGGAAAAAAAACCCTTTTTTTTTGGGGGGGGGAAACAAAGATTGTTGCTTTTTGGCACTTTCTGTGGAATTTCAACAGCTAGCATAACCAAAAGGAGAGCTGAGCTTTAAAGTTAATGTCTCATCAAGAACTTTGGGAATGCTAAGCCAAGAACCACTGATAACTTTAACAGTTGTATGTTCATTACTCCAACTCTTATCCAAGAATAATCTAGAATTAACTTCAACCAATATTAGTAAGGCTCTTTCTTTTTGAAATAGGGTCTCCCTAAGTACCCTGGCTAACCTTAAAATTTACTAGTATCACTGCCTTAGCCTCCAACGTAGTTGTGACTATACAGCATGTCCTCAGAATTCTATGTGTGCCAAGAAAAATGTTATAAAATCAAATATAAAGTCTACATCTAATAAATATTGTATATGTCAGCAATCTTGATACTGACTCACTCAGAAAACTAATTCAATGATATAGAATTCAAAATCACTTTCTAGAGAACTGAGGCAACAAGGGCTTACTTAGAAAGATAATCATTAATGTGAAGTCAGCTTGGTTTATTCAGCAAATTCTAGCCAGTCAGGTCTTAATAGCAATACCCTGTTTCAAAATAATAAATACTTTTTATGTCTCGAAGGACTGAAGCTTTTTTGCATCATGATCCAATTGTAAGAAAGTATAGAGTAGATTACTTTCATGAAAACGGTATAAAGAGCAAATTCACTAATCTGAATTATTTTCAATTTGCAGAAGATAATCTTGCTAAAAACTCATTGTCAGTAATATGACTAAACCTAGGGGAAATTGGGAGCTTGCAGAAAAAAGCAAGACTGGTAATTACTAACTGCCATTAGAAGTGAGCTTGAATATCTGATTTCCAGCTGAAGTTTAGGGGGACTGCCATTAGAAGTGAGCTTGAATATCTGATTTCCAGCTGAAGTTTAGGGGGGCAATAACACTAGGCTATGACACAGAAAGCTTGCTTAGATGTTGAGTATTTCCCACAACTGAGTAGAATTTTTCTCTGAGTAATTCGGTCAGATTCATTACTATCTAAAAAGGAGAAACACACATCCAGATTGTAGTATAATTATAGACACCTAAAAAAAAGTCACTTCTATTCACTTCTTAGCAAGTTTTATAGAATGAATCCACTTATACACGCTCTAAGTGAACGAACACAAGCAGTAACAATTAAACAGAACCTGATCTGCAACTTACCTATGAAAAGATGACAGGACACAACAAATATAATTTTAACAAACACAAAACTATTGCCATACAACTGTTCTTATGGTTTTCGTTTTTCTTTCTTTCTTTTTGGTTTTGGTTTTTCAAGAGAGGATTTCTCTATGTAACTCTGGCTGCCCTGGAACTCACTCTGTAGACCAGGCTGCCCTGGAACTCAGAGATCTGCCTGCCTGTCTTGGATTAAAGGTGAGCACCAAAACACCCGGCATTTTTATGGTTCTTATGCTCCAAAAGTCTGTATATGTTCCAAATGCCTGTCTTAGAGTGGAGGAAAATCTGGTAACAATAGAATAAACCCCCCACAACTCTTGTGACTGTTACAAGGGATAACTGCGGCTGAGGCTAAACTCCAGGCAAGTTTGCTACCATAGTGCTGCAAGGTAGCCCTCAGGACTCCGTCTGAATAAACTAATTGGCACATATTCAACATATTCAAAAGAGCAAATCTTCCAAAGAGCAAAATTTCAAAATATGGGATGTAGGACAAAAATCTTTTAACAAAAGAAACCTAGCTCACCATGTAATATAAATTAAAATGACCACTACCAACAAATACCTTTGTTATATGGACATTTACTCTTATCAAATAAGCTTGAGGGAAAAGTTATATATCCATATATTGGAGAAGAGTAAGAGTATTATTAAATTATAGTCTATTTATAATAATGTTACTTTAAAAAAAAAAGAGCTATTTTAAATCTTTCCTTCCAAGTACATAAAGCCAACAGAACCCTTTATTTTTAGTTTCAGTTTTTTTTTTTTTTAAAATCAAAGCCGGGGGCTGGCGAGATGGCTCAGCAGTTAAGAGCATTGCCTGCTCTTCCAAAGGTCCTGAGTTCAATTCCCGGCAACCACATGGTGGCTCACAACCATCTGTAATGAGGTCTGGTGCCCTCTTCCGGCCTGCGGGCATACACGCAGACAGAATATTGTATAAACAATAAGTAAATAAATATTTTTTTTTAAAAAAAATCAAAGCCTAATTTCAATGGCGATTTTTTTTTTTTGACGAGATAGGGTTTCATATATAGCCCGTAATGTCTATAATATTTTAAAACCCTTCAAAATATACTGTTATCTGTATGGGCAAATGCTTCCTAGAAAGGAATAAAGGGTAACCATCAAATTAATGATCTGGAGGTGTGGAAATTTTAACTAGAAATAGAAATAAAAGTCTTAAATGTTTCGCCTTTAGAAATACAACACGCTCAAAATATTTTTCCCCTTAACATATTCAAAATAAAGAGAAGTCCATCAACTTCTCTAATGTACAAACATTAACTGATATTCTCTGATAAAACCTTTTGGTAAAATGGCCAACACTGTACTAAACTAAATTACCTAAATTACTTACATCCCATTATTGTGTAATTAATGTTTTCTTATAGTGTGCCAAAACTTGATAGTAAAAATTTCTTTCACTATCATGTATAAATAGTTGACTTTTCAGATGCTCTAAAACACACAAATCAAAAGCACAGACATGAAAAAACACACCATTGTATGTCATAAAAATAACGTAAGATACAAAAGAGGGTCTTTACCTTACTGTACATTAGACCCTCACTTTGAATTTCAGGAAAGTAGAACTTTTTCAAAAGGCTAGTATCTAAAAGCAAAAGCAATTTGGCATGTTTTATCCAACATTCAATATTTTACATATATTATAAACACACACACAAACACACATACATGTATACATACAAATAAAAAGGGTTTTGGGTTTTTTTTTACCTAAATGCAAACTGGATGAGGATCCATGTGATGAAAGTGATGGCGGTGGCGTAAGTGAATGTCCTGGAGTTTGGCTTGGCAGAGGCATGCCTATTGGACTTGGAGAGGAGGAAAATCCCAGACTATTGTAAAATGGTTGCCCTATGGGTGCTAGGCTGCTACTAGATCTTTTGTACAAGTCAGAGCTAGTAGATAGAGACTCTCTCCTTGTGGCACTACTACTTGCAGAACTGCCAACTGAAGAAGAAATAAAAAAAACCCTAATTACATACAGTGTTAACTGAATAAAACCTATCCCCAACTCTTGCTGGGCAATAATAGAAGTGATCACAATAATTATTTTTCGAAACCTTACGGAGAATATAATTACTGTGATAACTATATATACCAACGTAGTAATCATAAAAGGGTATAAATGCACCCCAATAAATCAATAAACAAATTCTTAACAGAGCAGTCATATGTTTCATTATTTCACACATATTTACCACTAAACATGATTACTGTGCTTTAATACCCTGGTATGATTTATAAACTCTGAATTGCAAAGCTGTCTGTTTTAGGACATAAAGATAAAATTCAAATAAAGTTTAATTTGGTATTATCCTAATGTCTGGAATCTGTTTTTTTAAGATTTCGACTCAATGTCAAAAAAAGATTATATTAATAAATGTAGTATTCATAAATTTCCCTCACCAGTCATGTCTGATTTGAAATTTAACTATGTTCAAAATAAAACCCTTTAAGTCCATATTGGCCCGAATATTACTGGTTGGTTGTGAAATAAAAGTAGAAGCTAACTTCTTAGTATTGTTCATATAATTTGTTAAACAAAAACTTCCTGAACACCAAACTTTCTCTTGGAAAATTAATGTCTCTCTTTATTATACTAAACCAAAGACATGCCTTTACTTCTTACTCCCAAGGACCCACCATTCCTTATGATTCAAGCACTGGCCTCCTGAGCTCCTTATTCAAGTCAAAAGTTCCCAATCCCCAAGCTAGCTAGGAGAGCATGCGCAGAAGAATAATCCAAGATCTGTCTGTAAAGCAGCATGCATGTGGATAGTCAAATCCTTTACTGAGAATGTTAAAGGGATGTCCCCAATTCCTATCTTGACTCATTCAGAACAGATGGTTTCAAATAAATTTCTTACTTTGAAATATTAATCTTTTTTAACCAAATACCTTTAATATAGTAAAGAATTTCAAGTAATATTTCTGAATGTGACAAATAAGGTTTAAGGACAAGCTCTATATTCGGACCAATATGGCAATTCTTTCCAAGGAATTGTAAAGTCTATTTAATGTTGGTTTTATATCCCAAGGAATAAATAAGTCATACATGCAAAAGTAGGTCATACCATAGTATGGACTAAGGAAAACAATTAGAAAACATAAGTAAACCAAGTTGAGCTTGTAACACAGACAGGAACCATGAATACCCTGTTTTTTTTTGTTAAAATCAAATACCTAAACAGAAAAAAAGGGGGGCAAGGACTTATGACACTGCACCACACAAAAGATTAGAATGCAATATTTGACTGTCATAATAGCCAATACAGTTTCTAAAATCCTGGCCATGTCATATGGAAAAGTTCACATTTTAAGACATTACATGAGAATTAGAATCTGCAAGAAATTTATATAAGCTTTAATAGTAAAACTAAATTAGGCCTAAATGTAGTAAATCTTTTAGAGTTGGTGTAGGAAAATTTCTCAATATATGCTATTTTCAAACATGCTAATTTAAAAGGACACTGTCAAATGATTGCTTGAAACATTCGTTACATACTGTATTTATCTAAGATAACTATTTTAGTAATCAATTTATCTGATAAGCTGACACCAGCTCTCTACTAATAGCAGTTGCATTATCATTCTTTTGCCAAATGAGTAAAAGAAACTGGTTATGACACATGCAAAAGCGCTCCAAAAAGAAAATATATTTTTTTGAACTTTTTTCTTTTGGAGGGGGCGTTCGAGACAGGGTTTCTCTGTAGCCTTGGAGCCTGTCCTGGCACTAGCTCTTGTAGACCAGGCTGGCCTCAAACTCACAGAGATCCGCCTGCCTCTGCCTCCCAAGCGCTGGGATTAAAGGCTTGCACCACCACCGCCCGGCTTATTTTTTAAAATATTTTTAAAAAGACAAATATTTTTTTAAAATGTCAGAAAGAAAATTACCTCAATACATAAAGCTCTTTAAAGCTTGCTCTATATCTAAATTACCTACAACACTGACAAATAAAACATACCTAAAACACTAAGAAGCTTGACAAATGTTGAAATCATTACTCACTCATCAACTATGCATGAGACATTTCATCAAACTTTCAATAAAATATCACTCTAGAAATAACAGGTAATGGGAAGGATGATTTAATTGCTACATTACATTGGCTACCACTCCCTGGCCAACTGTATTATAAATTGGGGTGTTTAACACTACTCAACAATAAAACTGTAATATTTGTAAGAAACATCTATGTAAAAACAACTATGTATTTTAGCTTCCACTTAGTGTGACACAGAGATAACAGACCTATTTTAATAATGTGTATGTATAGCACTTGAATGGATTTAATAATGTGTATGTATAGCACTTGAATGGATTTAATAATGTGTATGTATAGCACTTGAATGGATTCTCACAAAATGTCCAAAGGAATGGCGAAGATGAATTTGATTATTTAGAAGCAGTTACAAGTGTCAAGTGTAAGGCCCCTATTTTTAATTTAAAATTTCTATTTCATTTTTACATGGTACTAGGAATTGAACTCTAATGCATGCTAGAAAACTGCTCTAATTTGAGCTATGTGCTAGCCTTATTGTTCCTAAAAGCAAGTTTTAATGACTTATTTCCCAGACCAGGTATCAGAATAAAGTGAGAGGCGTGAAGGTTAGTTCTGAGACCAGTGCCTTAAAATAAGGGGAAATTCCTCAACTAAGACAAATGGGAATCTGAAAGAACCAAGTTGAGTGACCTAAAAATCTGCACCAGAGCATCAGTAATATATTAGAGAAAGGAGTATGGAGTTTATCAAAGCTGTTCACACCCCCACCTCCAAGGATAATAAGGGGACAACATCCATAGTTTAGAAACTATATGTTGTGACCAGGATATTTCTATTTTAAGATATATGTTCTTTCAGCTTTCCTCAGAATATTTAGGATTCTTTGGGGATAATGTGTCAACTGAGTTAGAATCAAAGAATGAATCTCATGAGTGCATCACCTGGACATTAAAATAATCAACTGCAAAGAAATGAAATAAGTAGAAAATTTAAAGGATTGGGTGGTAAAGTTGGCTCAATGTAGAAGAGCACTGGCTGCTCATTCAGAGGAAACCCAGCATCCATTTGGTGGCTCACAACCAACTCTAACTCCAATTCTAGAGGATCTAACACCCTCTTCTGGCCTCTGAGGACACTGCACACATGTGGTGCAAAGACATGAATGCAAGCACAACACCCATACACATAAAATAAAATGGAAAAATAAGTGAACACAATCCCAAATTCACCAGATTTGCCCTAAATTGTGCTCATTATTCAGGAAATTTTGTTAGGCAAGTATGACAGTCTTTTATTATATTTCATTGGAACCGAAGGTGACTTTTATTCCCTACAATTTTATAACTGTTCTAGTCATTTCTGCTACAAAGATGAATATTAAGAGTTTAGAAGGCACATCAGTAAAATGGCAAGCACCTGATAACTAGCACTGTACTAGTTTTGCCATTTTCTTTCTTTTCTGGGACAGAGACAGGGTCTCATGAAGCTAGGTTGATTTCAAGTTCACTATATAACAAAAGATGACCATGAACTTCTGATTCTAAAGTATTGGAATTATGAACCTGCACCACCACACCCACTTTATGCTGTGCATGCTAGACAAGCACTCTACCAACTGAGCTATACCCAAAGACCCAGTTTTGTCATTTTCCACATCAGAAAAGAATATGAAGTGGTAAGAAAATAGATGGAAAACAAGTACTAAGGATTCTAGAGCATTAAATATAAATGTTGAAGATTTTGGATTATAGAAAAATCCCTTGAAGTCCAAATTCATATTTGTGCCCTCTTGAAAACCAATTATATCAACAGAATTAGGGTAAGCTGTCCTTACCTAATGTGAATGTTTTAAAACTGTGATTTCTTAAAATAAGTAAGAGGCAATCTATTATACTAATTTTAATGAAAAGGGCTAAATTATTTAAGTATATTAGTAGTTTCTTAAAGGACTGTTTAGAGTGTTTCAATATTTATTTACATGTTATGTCAACTAGAGAAAATCATTATCAGCTACCCAAACCTAGTAAGAATGCAATAATGTATGAAAGAACACAATAATGACTATTTTTGTAGTTATATTATCCATATGTTAGGTGGCAAGGTATTTACCTCCTCCAACATTATGGAAAATAATAAAGTGCTAGTGATTTATAAAATTTAGAGTACTAAATTCTTAAAATCTGGAGGTATGGGAAGATGGACTGCTGAAATGAGTTCAACATTTACAAATCCTGAAAGATTGACAGGAATTCTGTGAAATTAAACTAAAAGGCCCACACTTTATTCCTATCCCTCCTACACTATGTTGTTACTGTTTGTCTTTATATTAAAAACCCAAATACCTCAAGCACCCTTAGCAAAGTATACTCATTTTTAAAACAAACTTACCTGATGAGCCAAATCCACTGAGGGCTGAGCCTATAGCAGCTCCCAAAGAGCTACCACTTCCAAAGCCAAGAGATGCGCTTCCAGGTTGGCCAGGTCCATGAGAAAACAAAGAGCTGCTCTGGGAGCTGTTAGTCAAAGAGCTGCTCCCATAAAATGAATTAGACTGCAGGTTAGAGCTTGGCTGCTGCTGCTGAGGCTGCTGTGGTGGCTGAGTGCCAATTGGCCGAAACAGACCATTTGTGCTGCCCGTGAGACTATTTGTAGTTCCTCCAGCTGCTGCTGCTGCTGCTGCAAAACAATTTCAGATACTTCTTGAAACTACCCAGAAAAGAATATTTAAATATACACATTTAACTAAAAAAATTAAACTGCAGGAAAAAAAAAATCTCTAAAAATGTTGGTTATACGTACCAGCTTGTGCTGCTGCTGAACTAATTAAGACAGGTGTTGGAGCCATTAACCGTACTGGAGCTCCAAGGCCAGTTCTTGCTCCAGGGCCAACCACTAAGGCACCAGTCTGATCATAATAGGCAGTTGGAGCTAGTACTTGGTAGCCTAGATAACATCAAAATGAGTACTGATTAATGAAAACACTTTACTACAGAAAACATGAAAGGCTACTTATTGATTATGAAAAATTACTTTCCTTAAAATAGAAGCTATAGGCTACCAACAACTAAATTAGAAAAATATTACCATTTGGTCAGTTATAAAGCTAATGGCTTGAAAGACATGAGGAAGTGAGTCTATAAACAAGTTTACCATGTAAATTTTAGAACAAATGCCTTCTCTTAGACTTTCACTTGCAAGCACTGCTTTAAAATCTTGAAATATGGGGTCTAGAAAAATGGCTTAGAGACTAAGAACATTCGCTATTGTTGCGAAGGACATGGGTTCAGTTCTTAACCCCTTCATGGCAGTTTATGAGTGATTTCAAGGGATCCAGTATATCCATGTAAGCAAAACACTCACACACATTAAAGTTTTGCAAGTTCATGTGCCAGCCTGGTCTACACAGTAAAGTTCTAGGACTGCCAGAGCTATAGCTACATAGTGAAACCCTGTTTCAACAACCCTCGCCCCTGAAAAGAAGTTAAGCAATTTTCTTAAATATATAATCTGAACAGATAACTTAAAATATCATTAAGAGTCTCTTTGTGAAGATTCTCACACAGGCATCTGATTCTCTTTCACTCTAGACATTGTGTAAAGAATAGGACAGTTTTACTGTAGGCTTGTGTACGAGGCAGATAATGTTTTCACATAATTTAAAAATACAGGAAAGTGAAATTCACCTCTAAGCAGTTTCTCTCACGGGAATTCTTCCTCTGAACCAAAAACACACAAAAATTACTCACGTGACAGTTTTGTTAATTTTCCCAAGGATAGTACATAATAAATACTGCTCAAGGCACTGGAGAAAAGTTAACCATGACTAACAGACATTTTGGGGCTATAAGGTTTAATTCTCTCCTAGAACTCAGATTGAGAAAGACTTGTCTTACACAGCTATCTGTGAAAAATGTATCAATAACCTTTTATGCTCTCATGCTTCAAAAACATGGAACATACCAATTACACAAACACAGCAATTCTGAATTGTATTTTATCAAGACCATGCAGAAACAAAGTCATAGTAAAATTACAATAACAAAGAGGCTTCAAAAATAGGCAAATTCAGTTTGTTAATGAACTATATTGGGATAACCATTTTAACATTATAACCAAAATACAAGATTCAAAAAATACTCCCACTCAGAAGCATTATGTCTAGTTAGCAAGTAAAGATGATCCCCGTCGAGCCCAATGACCTGAGTTATCCTATAACCACAAGTAGTAGACTTCTGACCTCGACAAACTTGCTCGCCATGCCTCAACTAAATGAATA